GGATGGGACGGGTATGGTTGGGAGGGTTACGGTTGGGACGGTTATGGTTGGGATGGTGAAGGACAGGACGGTTATGGTTGGGACGGTGAAGGATGGGACGGGTATGGTTGCGATGGTGAAGGATGGGACGGGTATGGTTGGGAGGGTTACGGTTGGGACGGGTATGGTTGGGAGGGTTACGGTTGGGAGGGTTATGGTTGGGACACACGATTGGGAGGGGGATGGGCAGGTCTATAAAAGCAGTTAACCCTTTCCTGTATCCTCCGATATAATTGCCCCGGCACAGAGTTTATTGCAGCGTCTGGAGGTCATGGCTGTAAAACACAACAACTGCCCCCCCCTCCCCCCATGCTGGGACTTGTAGTTCCCCCGGAGTGGGAGAACGGCGGCTTTCCAATACCTGGCCATACACACACACAGATATCTAACCGGAAAACCTCAGGCGACGCAGGAAGTCTGGATGACCTCAGGGAACGAACGGCTAAAACCGGAGAGAAAGGAATAGAAGCCGGGAGCCGTCACCCGGAGCGACCAATCAAAATCCTCGATTAGATTGTTTCTGGAAGACGACGGCCGAGCGACGTGAATGAGAATCTCCGGGAACGACGGCGATCCCGATCCCATCCATGAGAATCTTCCGGAGCGCCCATGATCTGCGACGTCTCTGAACGCTGCGTGGTTAACCCCTTCACCTCCCCGCTCAGATTCCCACAAGCGCCGATCACCCTCCATGCGGATCCCGTAACCTCCATGTGACAATTTCCTGGGAACATCAGCCAGTTATTGCGTCGGGGGCCCCAAAAGTGAATTCTGGGCCCCCAGTGTGGGGGCTGCTGGTTTCCTTTAGATTGGGAGTGTGGGGTGACCAGCCATCGATCATGTGACCATGTCGGCCGACCAGCTGGTTACAATGTATCTTTGTCTGAGATGGAGGTCGGAGGTCAGAGGGCAAAATGTTGTATTTAGGACTTGGAGGGAGCGCTGAGGGGTGACGTGACCAACCCCCGTTATGTCATTGTTCTGATCACCAGAAGAGGAGGAATGGGGAAACCTTCCACTGGGGACACCTGCTCCTCTGACAACCTACCCCCGCATTGGAAAGATATCCTCTCACTTCCTGTTGAAGCTAAAGGACAGGAAGTGAAGGGGAATCTCCCATTGGGGACAAACGTGGCAAAAAAAATTAACCCTTTCCTACCCTATCCGAAATGAATGAGGAAGGAGAGGTAGGTGTGCGTACTGGGGAGGTGGACGTTGTAGGTGTGCGTGCTGGAGAGGGGAAGAGGTAGATGCGCATATTGGGGAGGGAAGGAAGGAGGTAGGTGTGCGTACTGGGGAGGGGAAGGGGGTAGGTGTGCATACTGGGGAAGGAGGTAGGTGTGCGTACTGGGGAGGGGAAGGGGGTAGGTGTGCATACTGGGGAAGGAGGTAGGTGTAAATATTGGTGAGGGGAAGGAGGTAGGTGTACATATTGGTGAGGGGAAGGAGGTAGGTGTACATATTGGTGAAGGGAAGGAGGTAGGGGTACATATTGGTGAAGGGAAGGAGGTAGGTGTACATATTGGAGAGGGGAAGGAGGTAGGTGTACATTTTGGTGACGGGTAGGAGGTAGGTGTACATATTGGTGAAGGGAAGGAGGTAGGTGTACATATTGGTGAAGAGAAGGAGGTAGGTGTACATATTGGTGAAGGGAAGGAGGTAGGTGTACATATTGGTGAGGGGGGAAGAGATAGGTCAGTAAATGGCTGTTCAGAAGATGTAGGTGAACTTACCTGCTGGGCGATGTACAGGTTTCTCTCTGGACGAGGTAGGTGTGCGTATTGGGGAGGTGAAGAGGTAGGTGTACTCACTGGTGATGGGGAGGGGGCAGGTTTGCTGTATGTTTGGGGAACTTGCAGAACTTTGTCTAGGAGAGGTAGGTACAGCGAGTGGAGATGGGAGGTAGAAGGTAGGTGGCTGGTAATCTGGCAGAACGTGGTCTAGGAGAGGTAGGTACAGCGAGTGGAGATGGGAGGTAGAAGGTAGGTGGCTGGTAATCTGGCAGAACGTGGTCTAGGAGAGGTAGGTACAGCGAGTGGAGATGGGAGGTAGAAGGTAGGTGGCTGGTAATCTGGCAGAACGTGGTCTAGGAGAGGTAGGTACAGCGAGTGGAGATGGGAGGTAGAAGGTAGGTGGCTGGTAATCTGGCAGAACGTGGTCTAGGAGAGGTAGGTACAGCGAGTGGAGATGGGAGGTAGAAGGTAGGTGGCTGGTAATCTGGCAGAACGTGGTCTAGGAGAGGTAGGTACAGCGAGTGGAGATGGGAGGTAGAAGGTAGGTGGCTGGTAATCTGGCAGAACGTGGTCTAGGAGAGGTAGGTACAGCGAGTGGAGACGGGAGGTAGAAGGTAGGTGGCTGGTAATCTGGCAGAACGTGGTCTAGGAGAGGTAGGTACAGCGAGTGGAGACGGGAGGTAGAAGGTAGGTGGCTGGTAATCTGGCAGAACGTGGTCTAGGAGAGGTAGGTACAGCGAGTGGAGACGGGAGGTAGAAGGTAGGTGGCTGGTAATCTGGCAGAACGTGGTCTAGGAGAGGTAGGTACAGCGAGTGGAGACGGGAGGTAGAAGGTAGGTGGCTGGTAATCTGGCAGAACGTGGTCTAGGAGAGGTAGGTGCATGGAGTGACAGAACTTCCTCTAGAAGAGAGGTAGGTGCAGCCTGGTCAGGGATTAGAGGTAGGTGTACTTCATGGCGAGGGGGAGATATTTGGTGCATTTAGCGGAGGTTTAGGTGACAAGACAGGGCAGGGATAGGTGCACTTACCGGCTGTCAATGAAAGATCAGACGGCAGCGGATGGAAGAGGTAGGTGCACCAAGTGTTTGGAAAATGTGCAGGTTGTGGTTAAGAGATAAGTACACCAAGCAGAGAAAGAGAAGAGTAAGCGGCTTATTGGTTATCTTGAAGGACCTTGTCTAGAAGAGGTAGGTGTACTTAGCGGTGGGTTATGAAGAGGTAGGTATATTTAGTCATTGGGAGGTTCTCAGATCTTTGTGTAGAAGAGGTAGGTGTACTTAGTGACAGGGGTGAGGAGGGAGGTGTACTTAGTGACAGGGGTGAGGAGGTAGGTGTACTTAGTGACAGGAGTGAGGAGGTAGGTGTACTTAGTGACAGGGGTGAGGAGGTAGGTGTACTTAGTGACAGGGGTGAGGAGGTAGGTGTACTTGGTGACAGGGGTGAGGAGGTAGGTGTAATTAGTGACAGGGGTGAGGAGGTAGGTGTACTTAGTGACAGGGGTGAGGAGGTAGGTGTACTTAGTGACAGGGGTGAGGAGGTAGGTGTACTTAGTGACAGGGGTGAGGAGGTAGGTGTACTTAGTGACAGGGGTGAGGAGGTAGGTGTACTTAGTGACAGGGGTGAGGAGGTAGGTGTACTTAGTGACAGGGGTGAGGAGGTAGGTGTACTTAGTGACAGGGGTGAGGAGGTAGGTGTACTTAGTGACAGGGGTGAGGAGGTAGGTGTACTTAGTGACAGGGGTGAGGAGGTAGGTGTACTTAGTGACAGGGGTGAGGAGGTAGGTGTACTTAGTGACAGGGGTGAGGAGGTAGGTGTACTTAGTGACAGGGGTGAGGAGGTAGGTGTACTTAGTGACAGGGGTGAGGAGGTAGGTGTACTTAGTGACAGGGGTGAGGAGGTAGGTGTACTTAGTGACAGGGGTGAGGAGGTAGGTGTACTTAGTGACAGGGGTGAGGAGGTAGGTGTACTTAGTGACAGGGGTGAGGAGGTAGGTGTACTTAGTGACAGGGGTGAGGAGGTAGGTGTACTTAGTGACAGGGGTGAGGAGGTAGGTGTACTTAGTGACAGGGGTGAGGAGGTAGGTGTACTTAGTGACAGGGGTGAGGAGGTAGGTGTACTTAGTGACAGGGGTGAGGAGGTAGGTGTACTTAGTGACAGGGGTGAGGAGGTAGGTGTACTTAGTGACAGGGGTGAGGAGGTAGGTGTAATTAGTGACAGGGGTGAGGAGGGAGGTGTACTTAGTGACAGGGGTGAGGAGGTAGGTGTACTTAGTGACAGGGGTGAAGAGGTAGGTGTACTTAGGGACAGGGGTGAAGAGGTAGGTGCGCATGTGTCAGCAGTGTCTGGAAACATGCAGAATTGGGAGAGCCGAGACTCCGGTCGCTCTTACTATCCCGTCTCGAGAAAGCCTGCAGAGCAGGGAAAGGTGCACTTACCAGCCTCACGGCAAGGGGGTGGATGAGGTAGGTACACTTACCAGGAGGAGATCCAGAAGGAATTCCATACAGTGCAGCCCTAGGGGGGTACAATCCATCCAAAAGAGGTCCTGTAAGTGTCCGGGGAGAGGCGGGGAAGGCTGTCGGCGCGGGATACGAGTCCACGGCGCGGGATACGAGTCCACGGCGCGGGATACGAGTCCACGGCGCGGGATACGAGTCCACGGCGCGGGATACGAGTCCACGGCGCGGGATACGAGTCCACGGCGCGGGATACAGATCGGGCAATGCTCTGCAGATCTACAGAGGGGTCAGTGATGAAATAATCTGCAGAATATATCACTATGGATCCGTCAGGGGGGATGGGACGGAGCGATGCTCTGCAGCTCTATAGAGGGGGGTCAGTGGAGGAATAGTCTGCAGCATATCTCAGTATTGGATACAAGTATCTCGGTCTGTGGGGGCTGGAAGGGTTAATCTGCATCAGGTTCTCCCCGGCATGTGACGTCGGATTCTGTGCGGAGCGTCTATTAGAAGAATTCAGACATTTATATCATCCGATGTTTGGGATAGTTCCTGCCACACA